GTGCTTAATGATCCTGCACAATGTGTTTTTTTCCCCTCTTTGCACCCCCCCACCAAAATTCTGTCCAGTGTGGTTGACAGTACTTTTTATAACCTCAGCAAGGGGGCTGCACGGGCAATTTTCTTCCGACATGACAAATACAAACACCCCAAACCCAACCCTGATAGAATCACTTCATCCGGTTGAAAGGAAATTTTTTTTCTCTCTTTCAAGGTGACTCTTTCTCCACTGAAACAAGGTAAGGGGCACCGCACTCCCCTTCTATTTTTCACTCTAGGCGCGGCATTCTTCACATTGGCTTGCCCTGTCTCCGCCCTTCTCCCATCACGCCCTGCTCTTGCCCAAACTTCCAGTGCCCAGCCCTTCCCCGTGGTGGGGCCCTGCAGCCCCTCCATTCTCTGGGTGTGTGAAGGGTCACTGTCACCCCCGCGAGGCTGCAGGAAGCCTGTGTTTATTGAACATGAACCAGACCCATGGGGGAGAGAGTTCTAATCTCACTTCTAAATACTTGTCAGATCAGCCTTAGTAGAGCACTGGAGCTAAACCATGGATATTTTCTTCTGTTTGAAGGCCGTATTTTGGTATCAAAAAAGAAGAGAAGAAGAAAACTGAAAACAGTTATTTATAAGCAAGAATGGAACTGGATAGTGGAGCAACAGAGAGAGACTCTCTTAGCCTTAGAAATATTTCAGCGTCCAAGATGTGATTTAACAGGCAAGAATGGCCCTCTGGACAGTTCGTTAGTCAATAAAGGCATCGCACACTGTGTGTGCCTGGCACTGTGCCTTGTAAAGTTTTTCTAAATAAGAATTGAATGGAAGATGATGTTTTTTATTTCTTATTTCGGTTGAAAAATGTTTATCCACTTGTCCTTTGATTTGGGGCCCGAATGTGGCTGTCTTTGGAACATGGATGTCACTTGAGAGCTTTTGGATACTGTGCATGGCCCAGGCTGGGTTATTGATTGATCCTCAGGAGAAAGACAGCCAGGCCAGAGGCTCTGACAGCTCTCTATCTAGGTTGAGTGGCTCTCTATGTAGGTTTTAAACCATAAAGAGGGGTTTCCCCCCCCCCAAAATTCCTAAAGCTTCCTGCATTCCACCCCTTACACAGGGCTCATGTTGCATTGAGGGAGGGAGGCTACGGATTAGAAAAGGTGGGAAAGCTGAGAACTGTATGGTGAGAAGCCATGCAATTAAAAAACTGACTGAAATTATTACCTGATTTCATAATTGACAGAATATTTAATTCAGATATAGTAAATTGACACACCTCTACACAGAGACAATTATGACTGACTGTATAACACCTGACAGAATCAATTATAACTGACTGTTGTTTGATACCTCTGCACGGAAATAAATGAAACAGATATTCAGAACAGAGACGGCTGCTGCCTATGTGCCTAAGCCTGCCTTTATTCAAATAAAATAACCAGTAGACAATGTTAAAGTGTCTTTGCCTCCTGGTTTCTATTTCAGTGTGTTTCTTTAAGTCCAGAGTTTCACAAGGAGTAAAGCTTAAAAGAGATATTTGTTTTACTGACACAGACAAAATATTGGAAGTAGAGATGGTTTCCTCAGATGGGAGGATATACTCTTTTGTTTCAAATAGTTGAACACTTTATTTGATCACTTGTCTTTTTTTTAATTTAACGGTATTTTTTTAAGATTCTCAGTAATCTTTTATTTATTTTTATTTATTTTTAGAGAGAGGGAAAGAGAAAGAGAAACATCCATGTGTGGTTGCCTCTCGCACACCCCCTACTAGGGTCCTGGCCCACAACCCAGGCATGTGCCCTGACTGGGAATCAAACCGGCGACCCTTTGGTTCACAGGCTGGCGCTCAGGCCACTGAGCCACACCAGCCAGGGCTTGATCAATTGATTTTTAAATAAAATACTTAAGACAAGTTCAACCTGCAGATGATGGCCTAATTCATTTCATGTAGAAAATGCATGTTTTCAGGTTTTCAATTCTAATCAGTAGAAATCAACTTTTAAATTAGCAGTTCATTTTATTTCTGATAAAACATTGGGTGAATAATATCTAGGCTGAGTTGTTTTTTTATTGTTTTCATAGGGGTTTAGGACAGGATATTTTTGGTAATTAGTATATAATCCTTAGGCATCAACATGACCAGAGTAAATAAACTATAGATACATTCTCCTCAAATGAGATTCCCAGGCTAAATAGATTTGCATTGCTGGTATATTAAGATGAATGACTTCCAGTGATACTGCAGTCCATGAGAGTATATTTTGCCAATGCACTTGTATGTAGGAAGAGCCTTTCCTTCCCTATCCCTATGAAGTTTGGATTTTTTGTGCTGGTTGTTGAGACAGTGACAGCCACAACCAGTGACATCTCTGAGGACTGAGCTGGGATCACTGCAGATCTTCTAGGCCTCTTGCCTAATGGTCTCTTGGAATCTTCTAACAGTTGTCCTCAGACAGCTGACCTGCAGGGCCTATGGCTTCTTTACCGACTCCCCAATCCAGAGCAGGTAGAAGGAGTGGGGTTTTACTGGCTACACTTACTGGTGTTAACCATTTAACCCCAGTATTTTCCCTTGAGTTCTAAAGTAGTGGGTGGAGCCCTGGCTGGTGTGGCTCAGTGGATTGAGCGCCAGCCAGCCTGCGAACCAAAAGGCTGCCCTTTCGATTCCCAGTCAGAGCACATGCCTGGGTTGCGGGTCACATCCCCAGCTGGGGGTGTGCAAGAAGCAACCAATCAATGTATCTCTTGTTCATGAAGTTTCTTTCCCTCTCTTCCTCCCTCCCTATCCCTCCCTCTCAAAATAAATAAATAAAGTCTTTATAAAAAAAAAGAGGTGGGTGGAGCATTAAAGGAAACAGGGAGACAGTTTCAACTCGAACCGTAATGTGGGTGGCCTAGGGGCCTAAAGCGGGGCAGGAAAAAACCATGAAGAAGGGGTGAGCCCTTTCCCCCTCAGCTCCCCGCCGCGTGGCCTGTGACAGCTCGTGCAGTCGTTTGCTAGAAGATCTTCCATCCATTATTGATCCCGCTCTCATTGGGGAGGCAAGCAGGAGCGTTTATGTGCATCTCACACTGGCGTGGAATGGTGCCTTGGCCGTATCGACTGGCTATGGCATACGCTGGTGATCGCAGTTGTCTTTTATGAAGAAGAGCACCAACCGATGCTGGTTGTCATTCTAACTCTGCTGTGTGGCAGTGTAAATAGTCCCCTTTCTAACCAACCTGGTGGGAAAAGTCAATATCCCATCAGCAGAGGAGGTAAACACATCGGGAGCTGTGCCCTCTCTCTTCCTCCCCTGCTCTGCATCACCGCAGCCCTTTCAATGCGCTGTCCCCAACGGCACATGCCGCCGTGTCATTGACATGCATGGAGCGCTGGCCCAGGCTCTGGCCTGCGGGAGCAGCCGCCCTGGTTGTGGGGCCATTGTTGCCTGTACCCAGACTCTGATAATTAGAACTTTCAAAGTGTCTTTCTGTGGTCGGTTAATGACGCGCCCCTTCTCGCCTCCATTTTTCCACCCCCTTGGGGCACTTCAGTCCTTTCTGCTAACCTTTTTGTTGTTGTTGTTTGAAAGGCAGTTGATATAATTTAGCATAGTTTGTGGAGAACAAATGCGAATGTGTAGCTAAGGGACAAAAGTCTTGAGAGCAGGTTTTCATTTTCCAGGTGCTTTGTGGACTTCGGTGTTTCTCTGTTGTTTCGGTAGGGTTCTCTTTCTGTGACTGACATGATTTCCTTCTCAGGGCTCTCCTAGTCCCCGCACTGGTCGGCCTCTGAGGGCCAGCCCTCCGTGGGAGCTCTGGCCACCCGGCTTTGTGCTTCCCCATCCCGGATTATCCGCTGTGTGACTCCAGGCAACTGACTTGACCTCTCAGTTTCCTCAGCCAGAAAATGGGAATTTTAAAACACTGGGCCTGTCCAAATGCCTCACAGTGTTCCCGGGCAGCTTTGAACAAAACCTGTGTCATCTTAGCCATCCTGAGCAGGGTTGGGATCACCCTTGTCCCCAAAAGATCTACCTGGCTGTCACGGCCCTACCCCTTCCTTTAGAAGAACCACATGTGAAGGTAGCAGCTCTGCGGAGGGAAAGGAAGGGCTTCTTTCAGGCTGCTAGTGCCCCTCTCCAAACCAGAGGGCGGGGGGGAGGGGGGGAGTGCGTGGAAGCAGCAGGACGCGGAGAAGGGGTGGCTGCATACCCGAAGTTCACGGGCACTCGGTGTGGACAAAGGAGGAAAAAGCAATCTTGCGAATGGACCGGTGCCCTCCAGACAGCCCACCCCTTGTCCCTGCCCGCGGAGGCGGTTTTCTGTAGCAGAGGGACACAGGCCTGAAGGACTGAAGAAACGAGGCCCAGCTGATCCGGGGAGTTGGCACTGGGAGACCCAGGCTCCCTTTGAGACAAAGTATTTCCTGCCACATCCATACTTAACATGCATTTGTGTGCATGTGCTCAGCAGCGCTGCAAAAGTGGCGTCTGCAAGTGGCGTTCACCTCGCCTGCTGCACATGGGCGCGCACCTGCAGTTCCCATCCGTGGAGGGTGGCCGTGTCCCCCCAGCGCACTGCATCAGCTAGGTGCTGAGAAGCGGTGGGCAGAGGGAAGGAAGAATGGCTTCCGCAGAGGAATCTCGGGGTCTCAGACCCCGTGCCTGGGACTGGCCCAGGGGTAGCCCGGTGACAAGACCGCGAGGATATCTAAGCCACAGTGCTGCAAGGACAACCCGCACCCCCTTCTCCACTGCATAAGGAGTGAATGGTCTTTAAAGAAGGTCCCTCTGGATGTAAAGTACGGTATATGGAATAGAGTCAACAGTATTCTAATAACTCAGTGCGTTGTCAGATGGGTACCACTCATCAGGGGGATTACTTTGGAAGGTATATCAATGTCTGATCACTACGTTGTATACTTGAAAGTAATACAATATTGCATGTCCAACTGTAATTGAAAAATAAAAAGCTCCCTCTAAGACTTGTAATCCTTTTATTTTTCTTTCTTTTTAGATAAATTGAGGAAGCCGTATATTACCACCAAAGTTCGTCAGGACTACAAAAACCTCAAGAACATAGCAGAGCAGTTTTTGTCCCAAAGTGGCTACACCGAAGTGAACCTCAGCAAACTCTTCATGGATTGCGCTGTGAAATGCTGAGGACCTTTGAGGGATCCGCAGCAGCCGCCCGGCGCCTGGCTCCATCGCCGGGGCCCTAACTGCTGCTCTGCTTCACTTTTCCTTGGGGACTGCATCTCGTGTTTGTGTGCTTGTGGCTTGGGAGGGGAATTATTAAAAGGGACTGCAAAAATAGGTAACACACCAAGCATCAGGGAAAATCAAAAGAGCCTTCCTCTTACAGTGACCACGTGCTGTTGAAGCATGGCCCTGTAGCCCTCTGCAATGCACCTGAAGAGCTAGCTGCTTTGGATTCCGAATTCGGGACTGGATTTCCAGGGGAGGGGGGTCAGCGAGGGAAGGGAAGTTAATTGAGAGTGGCTGGAATGCAAGTGACCGTAGGCTTTGCCCCAGGGCCTTCAGTAGAGCTGCCCCCACCAGGAGGGGTTCGTGGAGTCTGGTAGGAGCGCTAACATTTTGCCTTTTCACACGCCAATTAAACCCGGGCTCAACCCAAGTGCTTCCCAGCCACCGGCTCCGGGAGTGGCTGTCCTTTTCAGTCTTGTCTTTTATATACGTAGTCAAGGGGGGGGGGATTTCGAAGCCTTGTGCTCACTAAATAGATTAAACAGCTTGTTTATTGAATTGCTCCAAAGTCCAGCACACACAGGCACATGCGTGCTTGGCAGGTGTTTTACACTCACATTCTTTTTTTCCCCCTTAAATAGGAAATCCAGGTAAAGGTTTATACAGTGGGAAAGCACATTTAAAATAATTTGATACCTATAACATTTCATAAAAACATGTAGAGTTTGGGGCGAGGATCATTGTACTATATACAGAGGGGTGGTTAATTGGTTAATTGCCTCCGGTGCTATTTTTCTCATTTCTTCTTTGCCAGAAGCTAAGCATACTTCAGTATAGCAGTCTTACCTTTCTTAATCATTGATAAGTTTATACTACTAACAAAATACATTTCCCCGGTACAGCTATGCTTTATTTTTTAAACTATTTACCTGTGTGTTTTTATAAAAGAAAAATATGTTGTGCTTTTTTTTTTTTTTTTTCCCCCACTTAAGAATAAAGTTTTCGCCCTGGCTGGTGTGGCTCAGTGGATTGAGTGCTGGCCTGCGAACCAAAGGGTTGCTGGTTCAGTTCTCAGTCAGGGCACAGGCCTGGGTTGCGGGCCACGTCCGCAGTGGGGGGCGTGCAGGAGGCAACCAACCAATCGATGTCTCTCTTGCACATCGATGTTTCTCTCCCTCTCTTTCTCCCTCCCTTCCCCCTCTCTAAATATAAATAAAAATCTCTTAAAAAAAAAAAAGAATAAAGTTTTCTAAAGGGAAACCAGTTGCAGTGAATCCTTACCAGGTACAAAATCTTGATTAAAGGGGGTGCAGCCAGGAGGAAGGAGTCCCCATTCCCAAACCTCGGCCTGGTTGGACCTCCTTTCACATACGCTCAGCACGATAGTATGTCCGAATGTTCTGAGTGGCCTTTGGGAGACTTTCTGTGGACCTCAGGCCCTTTAAGAGATGAAATGTGGTTTGTCGTGTGCTTTGCTGACTGGGGCAACCAGAGAGAGCGCTAAGCCAGGAGGCCAGTCTCGCTTCTTTATGGAGAGCAAAGGTGCTGACTCCGGAGAGAGGGGCACCCGCCAAGAGAAGGGTCACCCCGCATGGACCCTCCCTAAAGGAATACCTGTTTAAAGCGATGGAGATGGCACTGCCTTCTACCTTCCTTTGCTGTCTCTTTCCCTTACCCTCTCCTCCTTTCTCTGCTATCTCTCATACTCAGGTTCTAAGTAGAAGCACTTTGGGTTTAGAGCCCTGTCAGTTAATTAATTAATGCTTTGGTACTTCAGGCTTGCAAGCTGTCAAAAGCTGGAGCACCCAAGTTGCTTCTGGAGACTAAGGGATTAGTGTGCTTTCAGGGCACACACGGCTGCCCACCCCCGCCCCCGCCCCCAGCCCCCCTGCTCTGAAGAGAAGGCATGTTTTCCTTGATCTCTTGGACCTGAGATTCTGGTAAATACAAATAGAGGGTTATCCTGAACTTGGTCATCCAGGAAACTCGAGGAGATTCAGATAACTAACTACTCATGGGTCTCTTCCTTGTCTCTGCATTAGACTGTAATCACTGTAAGGGCAGGAACCATTTCTGTAGAGAAGCTGTATAAAGTCAGATGTTGTTTAGAACAGTCCTTGAAAAGAATCCTGCGGTTGATGTTTTCTTACTCCAATATGCAACTCCGGATCAGTTAAAAGGCTTTTCTGGGAGGCACCTAATGGTTCCAGAATTTTATAGAAAGTTGAAACTGCCACTTTGATGAATTCCAGTGGAATCCTGGCCGGGTGGCTCAGCTGGTTGGCGCGCTCTCACATATAACCAAAGGGTTGTGGGTTCAATCCCAAGTCGGGGCGCTTACAGGAGGCAACCAATCGATGTTTTCCTCTCCCTCCTCCCCAGGCCCCGTTACTCCCTCTCCCTCCCTCCCTTCTTCCCTCTCTCTAAAATCACTAAACATACCCTCCTGTGAGGATTTTTTTAAAAAAAAAATTCCAGTGGATCTCTCTTGGAAGAGTGGAACATGGCATACAAACTTTTCTCTGAGAAAAGTTTCTACTCCTTAATCTGGTTGCCATCAGTTGATGGGGCGGTGGATAGGACAGGCGCAGAAATGCCCCCACTTCTTTGTAAGAGGGGGCCTACCCACATGTCTGCGCAGGCTCCCTGACAGGAGGCTTAATGAGCTCAAGTGCTAAAAGTGAAGGGATGAAACAAGTCGGGTTCACCAGCGAGTGGCAGGGACTGTCCACAGGGGACAGCGGCTGGTCAGTGATGCTGGGAGGGACAGAGCCCGGGGTGGCCGGCCACATGGTCCAGTTTTCAAGAGAAGCCGGGAATCCCGATAGTCCAAGTTTCTCGACGTCTACATCTTGCAACTAACTTTTTAAAGTGAAAAAATGAAATGCTGTGGGCCAGACTAAAGCTCTGGGCTAAATTGGCCCTGGGCCCCTTGGGAAGTGGGACCCTAAAAGAAGCCTGCTCTCCACAGAGCTCCAGGCCCCTGAGAGGGGCTCCTGTTGGACGTAGGCAGCAGGTTCTGCCTGCAATAGGGTACACAGTGACCTCAGACAGACCGCTCCCTCTCAGCTCTCCATATAAGGGAGCTGGGAGACCGGAAGTTGAAAATCCTACGAAGGGCATGCTCAATAATATTTTAAGTTGTCCAGGAAACTAAAGTCCAGAGTTTGACCAGAGTTTGGGAGAAGATGTTGAAAGGGCACGAAGTCACTGCCCCTCACCACTGGCCCCTTCTCCAGCCCGGACCACCTCTTCCCTCCAACACCCATGCGTGACACACGCACACCCTTCTGCCTTCTCAAACGGATCATTTAAATCAGTTTGGCAGAGGTGCGAAGATCCAAAAAGTCCAAAACCAGGATTCCCCATCTCCTGTTGGGGTCTTACAAAAACACGCACCAAGCCCAGGCCCTTCTGTTGGAAGCCCCGGCCCCTCAATTCAACATTCCCATCCTAAACTTAAAGCTGCTTTGCCTTTCCCTCCTCTCTCTCCCTCTCTCCCTCGATCTCCTCACCTAAATATTTCTTAATTGAACGGTTTGCTGTGGAGCTTCCTTATAGCAGTTTAATAGATTAACTCATCTGAGCCAGCCTCAAATTTCAGATTAAAATTCCTTCATCGCGAAGGCAGCATTATCAGGTTGTTGGAGGCTGTTTTCAAACCTTGGTTTTGAATAGCAGTGGCTCTGCATTAATTTAACCACTAAGCTAATAAGTAGGTTTCGTTTTGTTATGCTAAGCTTTATTGCTTTTCTTTTGATCAGAATGGTGTTGTTGAGCAAAGCAGCAGACAAGGCATTCTTTGATGAGGGAATTAGCGCTCCATTCTTCCTCTATTATTCATAGCACAGTGGAATATGTAAGTACCTGAGGGTGTCAAAGGAGCGCAGGTTCTATTGCAAAGTGCTCGCCTTGTTTCTCTCAATAGCTGACTATGAGATGATAAACCGCTTAATACACTGTGCTAATTGGATGAGAGCAAAAAGAGATGGGAATTAAGGCGAGGCAAAAGGAGAAAGTGCAACCAGCCTTCAATTCACTCTTTCACCACTTTACCAGCTCCAAAGGAGGCACAAGCTTTCTATAAGCAGACTAGAGGTTTTGTGCAGAGATAAAATGAACGTGTTAGTGGATTCAAGTAATACACTAATTATTGCACAGTATAAATACCACTACTGGTTTTATAACAGGGAGGTAAACTTCTTTTGAGAGGGTTATAGGATTGCTTGGCAGTGGTGTAGAACCTAATAAGGGCCCAGAGTAATAACCCCCTGGATTAACAAAATTGCTGCTTGTTAGAGGTATGATTCAGGCTTTTACGAAGATTTCCGGAGAATGAATAAAAATGACTGAATGACATTTCTTAATGTATAACTGGCAATCGCTCCCTTTTCTTTAAAGGAAAAAAAAATGTATACTTAAAACTGGACCGTTAATAACGTCCAGGGACAACACGAGATTTTCCTTTGAAAAATGCTTTTTCCCGTCAGGTAGCACGTTTCTCCCCGCCCCCCAGCCAAGCTGCCACTGGCAGTTAAATATGCAGTTGCTCTGGGGAACTTGGTGTTCCAAAATACCATTTTAGGCCCATTTAAGGCCCCCTTCATTCAGACACACTCGCTTTTGTGTATACACATACACACACGCTCACATACACAGTTTTTCCTCCAAAAGCAAGTTGAGCTAACCCATGTATAATTTCCTTTCTTCTCACATCAGCCCCCTTTGCCGTTTTAGGAAGATCTCCACACGCAAAACGATATGAAAAAAGAGAACTATGTGTGCCTTGTCTCTTGGTATGAGAAACCAAAAACAATAATAATAATAAGGGTTCGTCCCACTTGGGGGTGACGGTTAAAGGAGAAAGAAATGGAAAACTGGCCGGGGCCAACACCGATGACTTTTAGCTGAAGTCTTACTTTCAAGTCCCAGTTGTCTTAAACCTTCTCTTCAGTAGTCACTCCTCCTCTAATCCATTCGCTTCCCACCTTCCTCACCACAAAGCTAAGCGCTCCACCCTAACTGCTGTCCACAGCCCAGGCCGCGGGGAGTTAGTGGTGATGGAAGAAGACTTCGGGGCACCTTCTGAAAACATTACGCTGGCTGCCTCCTTCTGGCCTTTTCTCTCAGGGCCTCATCCAGCTCTGGCTAGCCTGTCTGAAAATGTAGCAAATTAACTTACCCCTTCCCTTCATCCTTCCCACAGAGGCCCAGACGGGGCCCCCAGTCGCCCCTTACCCCAAGATGCTGTGGAGGTGGCCCTGGGGAAGCAGGTGGCGGGGGATTCGGCCCTGGGTGTGACAGGGGACGGCCATGCCCTTATCACGGGGCTCTCCCCAAGTCCCCTGAGCTCAGCACCTCCTCCTCCTCCCCCCTCCTCCCTGGTGGAAGAGGTTTGCTTAAGGTTGGGGGGGGGGTCAGCCGCTCCCAGCATTGTGACCCCGTTCCCAGATATTGGGGCCAAATTGGGTTGCCATTCATTAATAATGCTCACAATAAGATTAAATCATTCTGGAAAATCTCATAAAATCCCCCTAAGTACGCTCCAGTGGCTCTTTCCAATCCCCATCATTCAGCACTTGGGGAGGTTTGGAAGGAGAAGAAAATTGGTTTCTTTGCTTTTAATGCTGCTTTGAAAAGATACTCAGAGTTTGTCATGCGTGACATGTCACATGTTTAATGTGGACTTGCTGGAAGTCAGGGGGTCTTTAGCGTGTGATATTTATGGGGAATATTAAGTGCAGAATGAGGTCCCTCCAGCTGGGGAAAGTTGAAAGAATAGGAGGCCCAGGACCGGGCTTGTTTGCGGCATCAGAATGACATAGGATTAAGAGTTTGTAAAACAAGGCGAGGGGCTCTCATTGGCCAGTAATAAATGTAATCCTTGGAGGTAATTTCACGCAATTTGCTTCTGCTCCATGGAAGGGTCAAATGAGAAAAAATGACTTAAAAAAGAGTTCATTAACAGGAAGAATGGTACTGTTTCTCGTATACCATCCAACTGGCAGCCTGCAGGGGGAAGAAAGCCCTACCTAAACAAAAAGCCAAAATCGACGGAAAATTGATATTGACCACCAAAAAAAAAAAAAGAAAAAAAGTCCTTTTCCTCACGTTCCTCGTGCACTTCCTCGCCCCGACTCCAAACTCCCGAGTAGATCTGCCCACCCCGGAAAGCAGCGTTCACCTCAGGAGACCCTGTGGAGTCTACAGAGTTTTGAGACGCGCAGATACCGCGGTTGTCCTAGAAAGTTCCCGCGGGGCCTGCTGAATCCGAGAAAGGAGTGCGTGGCGAAACGGCTGAGGAAAAGCCCTAGGACCAATCCCTGCTTGTGAGCGAGTCCAGGGCGGGGGCAGGATGGCAATGACCCGTCGGCTGGCTCAGGTCCGGGGAGCAGCCTCGGCCCGCGGGCCCCGAGGGCGCGCTCCTCACGGTTTCCAGCAGGCGGGGGTCGGGGTCCGGGCAGGGGGTGGCGGCGAGCTGAGGACGCGCGGGCCTGAGCGCAGCAGCTGCTGAGCGGGCCGCCCACCGCGAGCTGTCGCTGACCTCGGCCCGACCTCGCACCTGCCCCTGGGCGGCGCACACTGGCGCCCCGGGCCGCGAGGGGACTCGCCCCCCTTCTCCAGGGCGCCGCCTGGGAGCGCTGGCAGAGCCCGCTGGCCCAGGCCGGAGATGCGCCCGCGCCCCCCGCGGCGACCGATGGCCCGGGGCCTGGCGGCGCTGCCGGTTCCGGCTCCGGGAGGCGAGGCGCGGTAGTCACGCCGCCCGCGCACCTCCCCTCCCCCCTGCCTGCCCCTCTCCCCAAAGGTCCGGCGCGCTAATTACTGCAAATTGAAACTAATTAAGCTTCTCTTCCCTTTCCCATCACCCTGGGAGCGTTGGCGAGACCCGGCCCCCGCGGGCGGGCTTACACCAAGCGGTCACCCAGCGGGGCACAGGCAGGGCCTGAGGGAGGGCGAGGCTCCCGTTCCGGCTCGGGGAGGGGGTGCACCAAAGGGTTACAGATCGAAAATCTGTTGGGGGTCTTCTCTCGAAACTTGTTTAGATTTTTTAAAATGTATACATTTCCCAGTGCCCAGATAACTGATGTAATGACATTTGTCAAGTGAAGATCTGCCACTTGGATACCCCTCGCTGCATTTCCGTCACCATCCCCGAGTTCGTCGTCTGTCCCTCCCTCCCTTCCTCCCTCCCTCCTCCCTCTTCCCCGAGAGTATACCGAGTACGTGGAGCCCGCCCCCTCGGAAGCCAGCCCCTGGGTTTCTCACCATTACCTGTCAACGCGGACTGCGCACTTCCTTGCTACGTGGCACTTTCCACGAACAGCTTCCTTCAGCTTCCGAGCCAAGACTCCTGCTCACTTCAAATTTGTCTCCACAGTCAACAACGCCTACCTTGCACCCACCCACCGTGGAGCCCACCCCACCTCTGGGACCCAGGACCCCGGCTCCCGCTGGGGGAGCGGAGATGCCTGAGAAAGCTCCACCTTGGTGTCCTTAGCCTCTGTAGGAAGCCCGGATCCCTGTGAGGATCAGATTCACACCAGGGGCCTGTGCCAGGAAAATGGGAATGCAGATAAGTGCAGGAGATGCTGGGGTGCCGGAGCCCACCCCTGGCTTCTAAGTGTCCCCCTTCTACTGTCCCCTCAGCGTCTGCACAAAGCATTCACACTTCCTTTTGTTAAACATATAATTTTTTTATTTTGAGCGTGACACTTCTCCACTAGATAGCAAGGAAAAGTGATAACAATTACACATTACACAAAAGTACTGTACCATTGCCTTTATCTTGAAGGTTTCAGAAGCCTCTACAGTTAATAAGTTAAATAAAGGGCTTGAGTACATAAATATTTGTCTAGGAACCCTACCGTATCTACAACACAGTAAGAATCTACAGGAGGACAAACTTTTACCATACCACGCTGAGTGCAATTGCGTTAGAACATTTCAAATATACAAAGCTCTGTTCTTTTTTCTTTTTAATAACAATGGTATGTACAGAATCAATAATCACAGTTTGGTGACTTCAACAGTCCATATTCTAGCAGAGTATTTCCCTTTGGTTTGATATAAAAACCTTGGTTGGTGTATGATAAAGAAGAGAACAAGAACAAGACGCCCCTTTCTGTTAAGTGCACTGTTAGCTATCTTACAGATTCGCCTTTGCGTCCCTGGCCCTGGCTTCACGCCGGGGCCCACGCTGGGGAGATCAACTTGAGCGCCAAAATACTATTTAAAAAAAAAAAAAAAAGCTAAGTGGGATGTCAAGAGGAAGAGAGGTTGGGCTTTTAAATTTTTTAACTTCAGTACCAGGCGTTTTGGGGAGAAAACCTCCCCAGATATTTTCAGTAAAGTGAACGGGAAAGAGTGGATGTTGGCGTTGGAGCAAGGTTGGCGGGCGCGGGGGCGGGGGCGGGGGCGGGGGGACAGCCAGCCGAGGAGGTACCACATCCGGTGGCGCTGGAGGGCTGCCTTGCCCGAGTCCAGGCTGCTGAGAAAGCGGCTGCGCTCTCTCAGCGGCCTCTCGGGAGTGTGCTGGTCCTCTGTTTCCATTTGGTCTTGAGTGGTGCTGAGTGAGGTGACCTTTAGGGGCACGCGCTGGGCACGAGGGTGCAGAGCAGCCTTTAGCACACCTCCTTGCCCGTGCTGGTGCCCGGCAGGATGTTGAGCTGTGTGAGCTGCGCGGCGTGCTCCTTGGCCTTGAGCCTCAGCGCGGCTATGCTAGAGGCGCGTCTGTCTGCGGCCGCCGTGGCCGGGTCGGCCAGCGCGCCCGATGCCACCGCGCCCTCCACGGCTGGCGTGGGCTGTCTCAGGAGCGCGGCCGCGGTCGACGCGCTGGTCAGGGGGGCCATGGTGGAAAAGAGCCTGCAGGTAGAGCAAACAGTGTGGTCACGGCCTCGGGAGCTGAGGGGGGGACCTCGAGCAGCGTTTCCCAGCAGCGTTTCCCCCCTCTGCCCCCGCGGGTGCCACGGCAGGCCCAGGGCGGGTCGCGGGCCCGGGAGTAGGTAGGAGCTCGGGCAGGAAGCTAGGCGCTGCAGGAAGCTAGGCGCTGCGAGAGGGTTTCACTAGAGCAGGGAACGACGGAGGAAAAAAGACCAAGGGGCCAAAGCCGGGGCGGACACAGGCCCCGCGCCCAAAACCCCGCTGCCCAATTACACAGAGTCTGTGCTCTTGCTTAAGAAGGGGGTCTATTCCCAGACCAGGAGCTCCAATTGCATGCAATACTACTTGACAGGAGAGAGGAGAGACAAAGAGGAAAAGGAGAGGCGGAAGGGGGGGGGGAGGAGAAAGGCAGAAGAAGAGATCAAAGCTGATGAAGACCTGTGCTGCAGACTTTGATACTCTCTCTAGGGCGCCTTCTCTGCCCAGGATTTCTTTGGCCCTGGAAAATCCGGCCCCCTTTGCCGACCTTCCGGAGGACAGGACCGCCCTCCTGCGCCAGGCTGAGCTGCCTGTGCCCTGCCAATGACCACCAGGTCTAGGTGGGGGCACTGGCCTGTAGATTGCCGATGGACAATAGGCTCTGACCCGACCTGCCAGCGCCCCCACCTTCCGTTCCAAAGCCTTCCCCACGCCCCTACAGCCTCTTGACCTAGGAAGCCGCTGGTCCCACCACCCCTGTGCCCCGTGCATGGCGACATCCAAGCCTGGCACTCCATGCCACCACCTCCGGGCAGCACCGGGATTGCTCCTCAAGCTGCCGCCACCACCTTCACACAGCACCATGGTTCTGCAGCGAAAGGCTGGAACCGCCCCTGATCACAACACCCCCCCACACCCTCCCCCCTCACTTCTCCCCAGGGCTCTTGCTCCCGGCCTCTGCGGGGCCAACTAGGCCTTACCATGATTAGATATGAGACCACTGGGGCTGGAGGAGAGCACCCACCTCAGCCCCTCATGCCATGCACAGTGCACCCCTTTCCTAGCTCTCCAAACCTCGCACCCTGGTACCCCAGTCTCGGTCTGCAGGCTTTTACAAGTCACTTGTTATCAGAAGGGAAAGGGATGGGGAGCAGGGGCCAGGGACACAGGACTTAATTCCCCGCCCCCCAGAAACAAAGTGCGGCCTGGAGGGGGGGCATAACATGCCTTGGTCCCACTAGGTAAACTGAGTCACTATACTTAAATGCACTCGCTGTTTTATTGGCTTGTTACAAGAAACTAATTTTAGTGTTTTTTTTTTAATTTTCTCTAAGATGATTTTTGTTATGTGGCTGCACAGTTGGATGAGTCTATTATTTCTTTGTTCTCCCCAAGAGAGATCACTGAAGCTGCATTCAGTTTTATTTTCACTGCACTTTCCAACTTAATACATCCCTCCTTTGTTTCTTTGTCTGTGTGATTATACAGACTTTTAATTTCATCGCTTGATGTTCATTTAAAGAGGGAGCTATAACATACGGTGAACTGTTTCTTTTATTGCGTTGTCTTGTGCGTCGTTTGGGTCAGGAATCGCACACATGGGGGTACGGCAGGGGGTCCCTTGAGTGACAAGGAAGAGAGGAGTCTGGGGAAGGAGGAAGAATTCTTTGCACCCAGAGGGCCCGTGACTCCCGGGCTCCTGCGACGACCAGGGCTGCTTCCCTGTGACTGCCAGGCTTTGACGCATGGGGAAGGAGTTCTGCAAAACCTGCAGTCATCCCGGCCCCGTAGCCTACACGTGTACGCGTTTACACACGTACTGCCTGTGGCTTGGACTGTTGCCACCTTCAAATGGTACTTTTACTGCTTTCATTGAACACTCAAAATTGTTCTGGTTGTCGTTACTAGCACTGCCCTCCTCTCTGCCACTCAGTTTCAAATCATTCCCTTCAATATCCACATTGCTTGCGCAAAATTAGAGAGTATTTTCTTTGGCTGTCTCTTAGGCTAGGCCAGAGAGAAAAGACGTGTCTAGCCTCTGCCTGTCTCGGGCCTCCTCCCTCCACCCCCGTTGTGTGTGTATGTACATGTGTAGGAAAGAGACACACAGACACCCCGAGACCGCGTGTTACCTGCCAAACGCAGGGCTGATGAAGGCAGGGTGCCGGAACACTGCAGCTCCAAGGAAAGTGCTCAGGCCCAGCGGCGCCCCGCTGGGCGGCAGGCTGGCCGAGCCCGGAGGCGGAGGTAGGCTCGGGAAGGCGGCGGCGGCGGCAGCTGCAGCGGCTGTCCAGGCTGAGTCCAGCGCGGGGTGGTGCGGGGGGAAGGGGCTGGCGTCCAGGTAGGGGCTGAGCGGGTGGGTGGCCGAGAGTGGCCCCGGGAAGGGCAGCCCCGGAGGATGGGTCTGTGCCCCCGCCTTCTCCCGCTTGCGCCACTTCGCCCGACGGTTCTGGAACCAGACCTGCAAGACGGAGAGAGCTGTTCAGTGCGGCTCCGGGGCCCGCCCTCCTTCCCACCACAGCCTGCGCCCACCTGGCTGCTCTCCAGCCTCAGGTTGTTTGAGGACACCTGAGGCCCAGCGGGTGGCGAAAGGGAGCCTGAACTTAAAGCCGGCAGGAAACATGGGCCCCACACATGCACTTTCCAGTGGGTATTTCAGTGACCCTAGTTGTTCCCAAGTATAAGGAAAGTTGTTCAGTGTGTTCAGAGATGGGGAAACCGAAGTTTAAGTCTGCGCAGTCAGCTGCCTGCCGCGCGTCTTCAGGCAGGTCGCCTAAACCTCCCTTAACCTCAGTGTTCTCATCTGTAAAACGGGGGTAACAGAGCTGTACTCATAAGGCTGCTAGGAAGGAGTGAAATGAGACAAGCGAAAGCTCCCGGCCAGAGAAGCAAAGGCGTTATCATCAGCTTTCTGCTGCGTATCACCTATATTCTCCTACTTCAGGTTTCCCCGAGAGCTGCCAAAATCCCTGCTCTGTATTGAAAAGGGAATGGGGGAAGCGTTCACTTATTCTTTCCAAAAGTGTTCCTTGAACACCTAGAGTACTAGGTGGGGTTCCGGGTCCTGGGGCAAGCTGGAAGGAAAGACATGCCCACGGTAATTCTGGAACAGGCGCACATTTTAGGGTCTGTTCTCCATGAAATAGAATATGGGGCGACCAGCCTGCCTTCCGCAGGGGCCGTGCCCAGGGCCCGGCTGTGTCCAGGCAGGCACTGTCTCTGCGCAGGGTCTGCAGCGGTACCTGTCCACTTCTCACATCTTTGGAGCTAACAGGTCCTTTAGTTCTTTGGTTGGGGGCGGAGGGAGTGTGGTTTCAACAGGGTTTAAAGTAAGATAGTTCTAGGCTTGGGGGAGGTTTCCAGCACAAGGTATCTTCCTAATTGTTAATAGAAAGCAGCTTTAGTAGAGACCTTTACCTGAAATGTGGCAGCTACCACAGTCTGAAAATAACTCCCAGGAGCCTGAGATGATTTTTATGTGACCTGCTCATCACGCCCACAGCCGAGACACGTCCCTTCTCCCCTGAAGGCGTTAATATTTTTAGGGCTGGGTTTATGCCTGCACACAAGTCTAAAAATTAAGAATGAACTCCAGGCTATACAGAGTTATATTATAATACGATGTAAATGATCCCAGAGGAACACGTTTTAACAATGTTTTGTAGCCATCCATGTCTTTCAAACATACACACCGGGGCTGTGGTTACTAGCGCTGGTGCCTAAGCTTGGCTTGACTTCTAGACAGCCACCCAGGGCAAGAAAAATCCAGAATCCAGATCAGTCGATTACTTAAAATTCTGCTGAAAGGGGGCCCATCCCTAACATTCCACAGCCCTCAAATAATCTATTTGTGAACTGCAGAAACAGCCTAGTGTGGAAATTCAGAGGCTTGAAAAGGTAAGACTAGATGGGACCAAGCTGGGTGGGCAGCTTTTGTGTATCCAAATCTGTCTAGACGAGAATATCCGCCACTCCTCGGGGCAGTGAAAGGAGTCAGGGAGCGGGCGCAGGGATAGAATACCCTCAAAGAACGGGGAAACCTCTTACAGACGGATTGGCTCTCTCTCCGGCTCAACTGCAATTATCAAGATGTCCCCCTGCAATTCCTCATTATTGAATTAATACCTCTGAGGCCCCCCAAAGGTAAACGAAAGGACTCTAATAATTCATATTCACTTAATTACATCTTCTCCAGTGAATAGGGAGCCAGGAGCAGGGGAGGGGGCGCTCTCTTTCTTTTAAAAAGTTATTTAACTTTCCCACGACTCGTTCCCCTGAGCTGAAAAATACGGAGTTGCTGTCACATCTCTGTTTGACAATGGAGAAATGTGTCAACAGAAAGGAGGGGACAGGCCTCATCATTAGCCCTCTAATGCAAGAAGCTGTTGTGTATTAAATGAGCCATATGGAATTTATTGTGCTTTATCAGCGCCTGATTTTGACTGTAAAGTGATTCACTCAGCTCCTAGCTCAGGGACATCTGTTTTCTGTTGGCCATCGGGCCGCCCAGTGTTGATCGTCTCTTTGGTTATGAGGCCTGGGTTCGGAAATGCACTCTGGTATGGGGCTGCAAACACCTTTAATAGCATTGCACTCACTCCCTATTAGATCAATGTGGCCTCATTGCTATAAAAAATGGGAAATCAAATAGCATTAGCCAGCTCCTTGTGTGGGCGGAGGGGAAATCAAACAGCATTTTGCCTTCAAATGGCCCTGTTTGTTCTAGCACTAAGTGGGCTTTTATGAAGCCCGATCGGAGACTTAATCGCAGCCAAATACCTGCTTGGAGCTGAGCGGATTTGTCTAACAACCAAATCCATGCTCCAACCCATTATTTCAATCAGGAGAAGTCAGTTGAGGATTGGTTCCTACAGGGGCCGTGGAGGGGGAGGGGGCTCCTGAACTTCAGTCTCCGGGACCTTATCCCCCTTTTCTGATCCCGGACCCCTTCTTCAAGGCTCTCAAACCCAGAAACCTTCCCCTCCACCCTCCCAGGGCTTCACATTTTACTATCTTTTGGTGTGTGAATGTTTGGGTCTCTTTGCTTGATTTTAATAAAAGGGGTCCTCACTGCCCCCAAATCCATCAACTCACCTCTGTCCCCCTCGCCCCCAGCCCACCCGCCTCTCTGGGGAGACGCTCACCTGGACTCGGGCCTCAGTCAAGTCCAGCCTCATGGCCAGCTCCTCCCTGTAAGAAAGCAGCACACAGACAGGAGTCACCGCGGGCTCCAGCACCCCTTTCTCAGCCTCCTTCCGCCGCTGGCGGGCCTCCCCCAGCAGGGCCTCCCCTGGCGGGCTGCCCTCACCCCCCGGCCCGTGGGTATCGCCATCCCTACCCTACCGGAGCGTCTACTGTTTGACCGAAAACATGAAAACACAACACGTTGCCAGATATAGGCTATTACAGATTAGAATGTATCATATTATAGTCAAGAGTGACAGGGGTGGCTTCTTGAGTCTGTAAGTCTACCAAACTGGGCACTCAGATTACCTTACTCTCTCTTAAGCCAGAGTTAGTTAGACAAGAAACACACACACACACACACACACACACACACACACACACACAGCGCTTATATCCTCTTTTGTCCTAAGAATGGGAGAACTCAGCACTCAAGTTTTTAAAAAATGTTTAAGCCCTCTTGGTTTCTGCCCGCCTTCTTAAAATTTTTTTTTTCTGTTCCCCACCTCTGTTTCCACCTCTCTGCATTTCCCGCAGTGTCTCTGTCCCCCGCCTCTCCCCCTCCCTCCCCCTCTTAGGTCACACTCCCCATTACCCTCTGGAGATATGTTAAGCTTGTTAAGAGTTCAGTGGGGTAATTTTTCGATTAAACAAAATTCTGCGCACCTCCTGACTCCAGTGCCCACTACAAACCCTGCCCATCTCAGGGGAAGTCAATTTAACTGAAACCCTACCCCGTCATTGCAGTTATTACTGCGACAATTAAGGCAAATAGGAAACCATTAAGATGCTGTAAAACGGCTTACGACCTGTTTACCGAAAATATGAGAGCGCCCAGAATAATTGGCTCGCCGCTCGCTAAGACGGTAGAGCGGGCCTGCCCCGGTCTGGGATTCGGGCCCCCGCCCCTCCACTGCGCGCCAGAAACTTCAGCGCCGGGAGAAGCCGGTTTCCTAAGCGCCTTTGGTCGTCCCCCTGCTTCAGTGAGCACCAGCAAATTAAAACCGCGCTCCCGGCTCTCTGGGGGCAGAAGCCAGAGGGCTCTGAGTAACTCCTGGGTCCAAAAGAGGTGGACGTCGGGTGGCGATGAGGAGCTGCCCCTCTGCCTGGGCTTTGGTTTCCCCTGGAGAAGCTAAAAAAAGGGCAGACCCGGATGCCAACTGACACCACATCATTTTCTTCTTTTGAAATACACATATGTGTGATAAATGCAAAAAGCCAGTTGGCTAGTTAGCTATTTGACAGCACACACTAATTTATAATTTTATTTTCTTTTTTAATGATAATGAAGGGCTCAGATGACATAGGGGGGAACCCAGTTTAGCTTAAGGGATGGCCAAGTTGAGTGCCCTCGTCCAGTATCCCACCCACGTTTTTCTGCCTCTGGTTAGGAGAGAGTTTGGCAATTAATTGCCGGAGCAACTGTACTTCTCGAGTTGGCTCGGGCCTCCTGAGCCCTGAGCAGCGATCTCTCCTTCGGTTCAAAGGGGCAGGCAGCTTCCCGCTTCTAAAATGCACATTGAAAAGCTGCACACGTCTGGTGCGAAGGAGCTGCTGGAGCTTAACAAGCCCCGCAACAGGCAGCCCCATTCCTTCCCCCCTCCACACTGGGGAAGCTGGCTGTAACCCTGGCTCCTCGCCTGAGCCGAGACCTTGGCCTTAGGGTGGGAGAGCAAAGCCCCCCTCCCGCCGCGCCCCCCCCCCCGCTCCGGGCTGGCACCCCAGGTTGGATGAATAACGGGGGCCAGGGGCCCAGTATTCTCTCAGGCACATCCTTCCAAACCACACACGCGCGCACAGTCAGGTGAGCTCGAAGAGGAGTGGAGAGAGCAGCGCTGACCACCCATTCAAAAAGAAAAATCCCCCCAGCTGTTTCGTCTGGCGTGCCTACCCCTGTAAACCCTTGTGCATTATACGAACGCGGGGTCAATGTGATGCAGGAGAGAGGAAAACGATGAGCGGGCAAGATCGTGGCTGGGGCCCCCAGGTGTACAGACACCAAACACTGCGCAGTCCTGGCTACCTTCGTTTATTTCAGGAGTCCTCAAGCGACAGAACTTGGATCTTTTTAAAAGGCCTTTTCCGCAGGCATGGGCTCCAGCTTCACTGCGAACAGCGTAACTGATACCCACGAGGCTCCTGGGGCATCAGGAGGGGGTGGCGAGCGCCCCACTCAGCCGCCAAAAATAGCCGCTGCTTTGGTCTGACAGCTAGGGCAGGAAGCGCTTCCTGCGCCCTGCTTGGGACCTAGCCGGGACCGCAGCGCCCGGGGCCCTGCATTAAGTGCGCTGGGGTGCCCACCTCTCCAAGGTGGTGTTCAGGCACCCTTTGGAGAGGCTGGATTTTCTAACTAAAACTTGCACTTGGAAAAAAATTAAACCGGATAGACCTGGGGAAGGAAAGAAATCATCCCAGTTTGAATTTAAAGTCCGGAGTGAGGGTGGAGGAGAGCTAGTGGGTAGTTCCTGGTGAGCAATGGTGGATGCGTTGGGAGGGCGCGCCTGGGTAGAGTCCAGGAGCGAAGCCCCTGCCCGAGCAGAGGCCCTGCCTGCCCGCCTCCCTTCTCTGGGGTCCGCTGGCGCCCTCAAGCCGTTGCCGCCGGCCCACCCCGCGCGCGTACCTGGTGAAGACATCTGGGTAGTGCGTCTTCTGGAAGGCCCGCTCCAGTTCCTCCAGCTGGTAGCTGGTGAACGTGGTGCGGTAGCGCCGCTGTTTGCGCTTGAGCAGCCCCTCCTCCGAGTCGCTACCCGCAGACAGGCACACGCTGTCCTCGCCGTCCTTGCCCTCAGCGTCCTCTGGGTGCAGCAGCAGCTCCTCCTTGGGCGACAGCTCCCCGCCCTCGGTGGCTACAGTGGCGGCAGCAGCGGCGGCCACCGTGCCGGTGGCGGCCACGGCGCAGCGTCGGGGCTCCTTGAGCAGCGCTCGGGCGTCGTCCTCCAACAGCTCCTCTTCGTCGTCCTCAAGCAGCTCCTCTTCTTCATCTTCGTCCTCCTCGTCCTCCAGCAGCTCCTCCTCATCGTCCTCCGCGCCCGTGCCACCACCCGCCGGCGGGGCGCCAGCGGGGCCACCGGCCGCGCCGAGGCGCTCCTCCGGGTGCGCAGCGCCCCCCGGGCCGCCCAGCTCGTCCAGCGCGGGTGGCGGCGGCACGAACGGTGCCCCATTCTCACGGTACGACTTGCTGCGGCTGATGCTCACCTGCGGCGCCTGGCTTATCTTGAGCGTGTCCCAGGCCGCCGCCGCGGCAGCGGCGGCTACGGCGGCCCCTGTGCCGTCCGGCCGCTCCCCGGGCCGCGCGGTTGGCGGCGGCGGAGGCGGAGGGGCCTCCCCACGCGGACCCGCCGTGGCCACAGCCGCAGCCGCCGCCGCCGCCGCAGCGCCCTGGAGAAGGCGGCCCCCGCCCGGGCCGTACAGGCGCCGAAGCTTGGGCGGCAGGTGCAGCTCGGCCTCGAATGGGGCGCTGCTGCCCTTGGGGGAGCCTGCGGGCAAGGGAGAGCGGTCAGCGCACCGGCCCGGCGTCCCGGGCAGAGCTGCTCCTGGGGCGGACCGTCACTGCTCCCAGGGCACCCGGGCTGGCACCCCTCCCCCGCCCCCCAACCAGACTTTTACTCCTCCTTCCCCACTTTTCCTTTCCTTTACATCTTTTTCTTTCCTCCTTTCTCTTGTTCCCTCTTTTTCTTTCTCTCCCCTCCATCCCTCTCTTCTTTCCTTCCCATCTCCTGCTCTCCCTTTATTTCCTTTCTTCCTCCCATTTTCTTTCCTCCTCTTTTTCTCACAGTCGCTCCTTTTCTTTCCTCATCTTTCTCTTCTCCCCTCTCCTCCCTTTCTCTTTCCCCCTCTTTCTTCCTTCATTTCTTTTTCCTTCCCCCGTTCTCTTTTGTCACTTTTTCCCCTTCCCATTTCAGGGCAGGGAGAATCGGAAAACATTCAAAAACTTTTCAAAAAATGGCCGCCCCCCTGAAAACTTTGCGCACGACCTCTGCTGCTCTGCCATGGGGACCCAGGCTGGCGAGAGGGGTGCCGGCCCGCCGGTGACCCCTGGAAGGGGGAGCGGCCGAGTGGCCTGAGCGCTAAGCGCGGGCCGCGCCCAACGGCCAAGCAGCCTGAGGTGGGGCGGGGGCCCTTGCCCAGAAAGGCAAAGAAAAATCGTCCAGGCGAAAATGGGCTCGGAAGAGCCTGAGTGGGGGCGGAGGGGGCGCAGCAGGCGCAGGCTGCTTCTTCCCTTCGAGGAAGTGCCTGGGCCATGTGCCACTGCAGGCTACAAAAGAAAAGGGAAAAATCAGTTTATTTTAAATGTCCCCTTCTCCACCGTCCGCTCCAGTCTTCCAAGTGGCTCCGCGGTTGGACCGCTGGTTTTCGGGTCTTAAACGATTCTTTCCCTGCGACACCGCTGCAGCCAGCTCAAGGATACATTTGAACGTAACAGGTTCCGAGTAAAACGACAGTTGTTGTGGAATTTTTAATTTTAGAAAAAATAAAACCTTTTAAACATCTCAACTCTATTTTTAAAAATAACATAGCAGAAAAAAAATAGCATCTGGAAGCCGCACATTTCATACATTTCAAATACAATAAGCAATATTTGGGGAATCCCAGGGAGATGTTTTGGCAAAGGTTGGGTTTAAAAGGTACAAGAAATCTACAAGTAAAAAAAAAAAAAAGGCAAAACACCGCGTTTAAAGAAACCTTTAGAACAGGAAAGACCAAGGGTCACTCTGCTCACCCCCACTCACAGCTTTGGGGTTTTTCAAGTTGTTACAAGGGTCCATCTGGCATCTGCTGTCTCTGACCTGTCGCCCCTTTGCACAGCACCCCTAAGGCTACCAAAGGGGACACTTACACGACCTAAGGACCAACACCAAGAACCTAAGGGTCCCCAAAGCGAAGCTTGGCCTGTTTTTTTTTTTTTTGGTTTTTTTTTTTTTTTTTTTTTTGGAAGCAGAGAGGCAGGGAGAGACAGCCCCTGGCGAGATGTTTATCGCCCTTTGAGACACCAGGCCTCAAGAGTTGTTCCCTGCCTTTCCTCTCGTTGCGGCTTGACAAGCCCAGGGCCCTGGCCCCCGATAATCTAACATCCAAACTAATGCCCAGAGCGCTTTGTAGGTTCCTGGCGGGCGAAACCTTACCTTGCAGGGCCTTTTCCTGGTCGGCGCGGCTGGCCAGCGGGGCAGGCAAGGTCTGCGCAGCTCCCAGCAGCCTCATTTTGCACGGGCTTCTCCGGCCCAGGATGCTGTCGATGCAGTAGGAGGAGAGCAAAGTTGGAGATTTACTTTTGCACTCGGGCCTCTCGGAGCAGCCCTCCTCCTGGTACTGATTGCTCATGGCTGGGGCTTTTTCACTGGGCGCACAGAGCGGGCCGCTGTCTGCCTCTCCCGGCGGGTGGGATGGATGGGTGTGTGCTGGGGGCTAGGGGTAGATGGCTGGTTATAATGGATATTATTGCGGTCTCTGTGCCTTTCTGCCTCCCTCTGTAGATGGCTGCCGGCTCCTGCCCTGCCCGCGGCCAGAGCTCGCCCTCTCCGCGCACCGGACAAGCAGTAACAAGTGTAGTGAGCGGCGGGAGCAGAGCTCTGGAGTCTCTCTCCTCCACGTGCTGAGAGGAGCCCTCTGATTGGCTCTCCCCAGATGCCGGGCTGCGCCGGTCTGTGGGCTGAGCGCAAAGCCCGGACTGGATTCCGGAAAGGCTGGCTAGCGGGGCAGTGGGCAGTAACCCAAGTCGATTTTCTTTTTCTTTTTTGTTTTAAGCTAACAACTTGCTACGTTCTCCATCCTCTTCCTGCTGCTCGTCCTTAAACCCTTTAAGGCCGGCCCGAAGCTCTAGCCTATTCGTATGTCAGCCCTGTGGGTGCTACTTGGGCGATGTGCGCCCCTTCCACCCACCAGAGGCCCTTGTTCCCTGAAGGGAGGCCTCGAGGCTCGCGTCCAGACGGATTGGCACTTTTCAAAGCCACACTGCGCTGCCAGGACAGCGCCTTGACCTCAGTGGCGCTCAGTCGCGGCCCTCTCTAGGCCAGGCGGGCCTCCGAGATGGCCGGATAACGAACCCAAGCAAACATCTGCTTGTGTCGTTTGGACGTTCAGTTTTCTCTTGTCTTCACCCTGCGCCCGGAGGATGCTCTTCTTAGCAGCGTTTCCGAACCTCTCTCATTTCCGTCTAACTCTGGAAAAAAGTCCCTGTAAAGATAAAGCTCTGCAAAAGGCGCGAGGCCTGACCTACAGGGCGGCAAGCGACAGGCGAGTGTCAGCTGCGAGAATGGGCGGCTAGGGAGAGGTTTGGGAGTCACCCCTTATCCTCGGACTCCCTTCCCTCCTCCCCCAACAAGTTCATCTTTTTAGTTAGGCCGACGCCCCGAGGCTGGACACCCTCAAATCGCGCGCAGGGAGCGGAACCTGCGGGGCACCTGAGCGCTCCAGGATGGAAAGGACTCTGGTTCGCGCCAACCAAATCTAAGCGCCTAAAATTCTGTATTCTCTTGGCCTGACTCTCACAGGCAGAGGTCAGAGAGTGAGCCTGAGGAAGAGCGCGTTTCTTCCCAAGCAGCTTCCTACGCGTCCAGCGCTGAGAACCAAGACCCAGCTCAGTTTGAAGTTGGGCCGAGTCCGGACAAGGAGCTGGCACGGACGTTCTCCTGGCCTGGGTGCACGGGCCACGCAACAGTCAGGGGCCTGACGCTGGCAGGGTGGGGGCGAGGGTGGTGGGTGGGAGAGGGGCCGGAGAGGGGGAATCCACGCCGGGTTTTCCTCTTTCAACCCCTCCAATGTGTCAAAGAGAAAAGCGGTGTGGGGTTTTTTTTTTTTTTTTGGTGGGTTTTTTTTTATTTTTACAAAGGATTGTACTTGAATCACTTTCAGACGGTATTTTAAAATACAAGGATGCATAACTGGGATATTTTTCAGCCATAAACATCTGCATAACTCTTGGATGCTCATGGGTGGGTGGCAGACAGAGCCGGCTGGCTTGGCTAGAGCATTCAAGACACTACTTGAGGGGGACGAAGAGTTAGAAACAGGAGCTTTGATAGTGTAAACACTAATGCTGGTATTACTCCTATTAAAGGGAAGAGGGAAAGGACGTCTCTGTCCTTCTGCGCCTCTCTCTGTCTCCCGTGTGTGCGTGTGTGTGTGTGCGCGCGCGCGATTCTCGCCCGTGTTCCCCACACTTGGATGATGGGGATGGGGGGTGGGTAGAGGAGAGCCTCAACTATCTCTGACATTTGCTTTTCTTTTAAGCTTGCTCTGCTGTTCCAAGGCACCTGGGATCTTCTGCCTTTCCTGCATTCTTCCTTTTCCATCCTCAACAGCAGTTTGGTGTTTTTATAGCGTCCCGTTGAGTTTTAAACAAACCTTCTGCGCGCCGATTCCCTCCCCCTTCCCTGCCGGGCCCGGGAGCGCACTCCCAGCACAGCCGAGAGCGTAAGGACGCAGCGGTCTCTCCGCAGCATCCAGCCGCGGACCCTCGCGGGCATCCCCGCGGCCGGTGGCTTCGAGAACGACAGAGGCACTTTTCCCTCCCCGGCGGGCCCTGCGTCGGAAATCCACAAGACCCGGCTGCCGGGTGGCTCCGTGACTTCAGACTCGGCTCCGCACACGCAAGGAGTGGGCTGAAAATGGGTCCAAAAAAGATCCTGTGAACTAAAAAGAGACACAAAATGCACAAATCATTTCTGAGAACCTAACGGAGTTTCGACTCTTCGTCCCCCTCCTCCCCTTTCTGCAGCTGTTCTCCGTTTTTTAAAAAAAGAAGTCGGACTTTCTGCTGGGGTGTATTCTAATTTTAATCATCCATTGTGATAGGGGAGGTTAACAGAATTTCTTCTGATTCTGATTTAATGATCCTTGGAATTAAATCTAATTCTATTAGTGGAATATACCGTGTCTCTTTGGGAAACCTGTGTGAGAACACCAGTTTTGTTATTTTATTTTGTTGGTTTTTGGTATTTTCTAATCAATCTTCCCAAGTGAGGACGCTATTGGAAGGCGCACCCATTCACTTCCGGGAGAAGGGCCTGACCTTTACACCCGGCAGCCCTGAAATGATCTTTATCGCAATTTAATACTCAGCCTCAAAAATTGCAATTGGCTCTTGCTATTCCCTAAAGAAGAAAAAAAAATTTAAAACACAGAAAACTTTTCTAACATACCCACAGGGGGACAGAATCTGCTGGCATCTCCATAGTGTTTAATCAGAATATGGGTTTAAGATGTATCTGTGTTGTCCGATATGTTATTTTTGAAAACAAATGATGTGTCTAATATTTGGGAAGACCTGATTTGTTGACTGAGGTAGACTTAAGAATGGGGCTATAAGACTGTGTATAAAAAAACTTTTACTTTAGCCAATTTAATATTTACTCTCAAAGCAAAATGACACTTCACTTTCTTTTCATCTCACTTTGGTCACCTTCTTTTACCCACTAATCAAAAGTAATTTCATGTTTGTGATGCTATTATTTACGGTTGTACTTGTTTATTCACAGCTCCTGGCTCCTTTAATCTTTGGTGTAACTGTTGGTTTTCTTGGGCTGCCTGGAAAACAATAGTTGGCAGCTCATCTCCTTTAAAAATCAATCACTAAAATAAAAATGACAATTATGGCCACGAGCGGGGGTCAGAAGTGTTTAAAACTGTTGTTTATGACAAAAACATGAGGCTTGTCCCGAGGACTGGAAGTCATAATTACCTAGAAGAGGCGAATGGAAGAAAACCCCTTTCTCTTCTGTGGTGAGAGCTAATTCTACATTATAGTTTCAAATTGTATTTGCAAGAAATGCTGCGTAAGGGAGTGGCAGTTAGATGTCATTATACAGGAAAAATGTTTGGAGGAATTAACCTTGCACACTTTTCATTTAAGATGCTTTAATTTATTATGCAGTATACCCATGGATAAATAAAGCTGTAATGGGCTTCCAGGCACACCGGACAGCTCAGGTCCCCTTAAATTATGCTCAACCTCTTCAAAACATATATTTAAACAATAGAAATAAACTTCATTGGAGCCTGGTGACCAATTTGGAAGCCATTGGGAGGGAAGACAATAAGTCCTGATTACACGCGAGGATCCTCTGTGATGTGATAGCCCCTCTGCCAAGTCATTTTGCTGTTTTATTTATTTAATTTCTTTCTTCTTTAAAAACAAACTTTCATTCATTTATGGTCTTCCGCAACCTGCTAATTTAACACTGGAGCGCGTTACTGCAGTGTTAGGAGGAGAGAAAGAGGGAGAGAAAACAACAATACTGCAATGATCCAAATGATACAGTAGAATTATAGCAATTATAGTTCTACTTGTGGAAGAAAACCTTGCTGAGATCAGGCAAACAAACTGAAGCTTTGTGAGGATAACAAGTGTCGGGATTGACAGCCGGTGCTGGGAAGAACCGGAGGGCACAAACAGAAATATCTGCCTCCCCCCAGCCCCCTTAACTCCAACCAGTCAAGGTTAACCTCCTCAAACGCTGCTTGCAGAGCCTTATCCTCTTCAGCGTACGCATTTTGTGCACACATCGAGGTTTGTCCTCCTGGAAGTCTGCTAATAGGAGGAAATGTAACATAATCCGCTCGCCTTGCACTTGCCCCTCGCCTTCTCTGCCCCTGCTTGCCCTCCACTGCCTACCCCTGCCTCAGTGCTCCCCACGGCTGCTGGATCTGCCCGTGGACCATGTTTGTTTGTTGATGTGTTTTCAAAGGAGCAGCCGGTGGAAAGGTCCAAAGGGACTGATAACTTGGATTTCCAGGGAAGACTCCTTGGCGATGCTAATCCTTCCCTCTTCGTCGTGTTGATCGCCTGAGCCGTGGGTTCCACCGTCAGGGCTCGGCTGGGAGAGGTTTGTTGGGAAGCGGCGCTTTTGGAAGCGTCCCGAGGACAACGGCCGGCCGAGCCCTCAAGGTATGGACGTATGCATGTGATTATTATGTTAGGACAACTCCTCTCGTCTGCAAACTTCGCCACTTTGGGTTACCCGTCAGCAGCCAGGAAAGAGGGCGGGGGATCGAGAACTGGAGAGAAAACAGACCCCCCCGCATCCATCCAGGCGGCCAACGGAGTAATTTCCAAGCCTTGCTGCCAGCACAAAGCCAGGCGACGTGGTCGCAGTCTCAAATCTGTCCTGGGAAGGAGGATCCCTCCCATGAGAAGCAAACGGCTGGGCTCTCACGCTGAGTCCCTCGGCGGGAGCCCCCCCGTCTCCAGCTGCACCCATCCCCCAGGTTTCCAACCCCAACAGGGAAACTTCTCCTCGCCCTGAAATCACCAAGACCTGGATGCTCCTCTCCAACGCCTCAGGGCGGGAGCCCTGGGGTCGAGGCTCCCCCAGTGCAGCCCT